CAGACAGCGATTGGACTGGACCGTGGGACATAAAGGGATACTCGTGAGGAGTGTGCCTCTTAGCTCAAGTAGATACAAGAGACTAAATGGGCAGCTTCTGTCTGGAGGTGAGATGGGAAGGCAGAGAGGGTTAGGAGCCGGTTGAATGGACATGGGGAGTCAGGGGTGGAAAGGAGGAGTGTGCTGTCACAGTATAGGGAGAGCAATTAGGGTCACATAACAATGTATGTATAAGTTTTTGTAGGGGAGACTAACTTGAAATGTAAACTTCATGTAAACTACAACAATTAAAAAAAAAAAAAAGATTACAGCCAAGAAAACCCTATAGAGCAGTTCTGCTCTTAACACATGGGGTTGCCATGAGTCAGAATCTGCTCAACAGCAACTAACAACAAGAATAACTGAGGCAAGACTCTTCCGAGTCCTCTGCCTGATGTTGTTGTTGTTAGGTGTTGTAGAGTCAGTTCCAACTCGCAGACACCCCACGCACAACAGAACGAAACTTTGCTCAGTCCTGCGCCATCCTCAGAATCGTTGCCATATTTGAGCCCATTGTTGCAGCCATTGCGTCAGTCTATCTCGTTGAGCATCTTCCTCTTTTTCAGTGGCCCTCAACTTTACCAAGCATGATGTCCTCCTCTAAGGCTGGTCCCTGCTAATAACATGTCCCAAGTATGTGAGATGAAGTCTTGCCATCCTCACTGCTAATGGACGTTCTGGCTGTACTTCTTCCTGGTCAGATTTGTTTATTCTTTGGGCAGTTCAATATCCTGGTATATTCAATATTCTTTGCCAACACCATAATTCAAAGGCATTAATTTCACACTCACATGAGGTGATTGAAAATACCATGACTTGGGTCAGGCACACCTTAGTCCTCAAGGTAATGTCTTTGCTTTTTAACACTTTAAAGAGGTCTTTTGCAGCAGGTGTGCCCGATGCAGTACATCATTTGATTTCTTGACTGCTGCTTCCAGGGACGTTGATTGTGGATCAACATGTGAAATCCTTGACAACTTCAATGTTTTCTCCATTTATCATGATATTGCTTATCGGTCCAGTTGTGAGGATTTTTGTTTTCTTTATGTTGAGGTGTAGTCCATACTGAAGGCTGTAGTCTCTGATCTTCATCAGTAAGTGCTTCAAGTCTTCTTCACATTCAGCAAGCAAGGTTGTGTCATCTGCATATCACAGGTTGTTAATGAGTCTTCCTCCAATTCTGATGCCCCGTTCTTCTCCATATAGTCCAGCTTCTCGGATTATTTGCTCAGCATACACATTGAATAAACATGGTGAAAAGATACAAGCCTGACACAACCCTGATTTTAAACCACACAATATCTCTTTGTTCTGTTCAAAAAACTGCCTCTACCTGGTGCTCCATGAATTACGAGGTTTTCCAGTCTGCCCTGTGGTAAAAGGCACTAATCTCCGTGACCCTGTGGGTATAATTCCCTCTAATTCTTTCAGGAGATTTTTTTCCCCAGCTTCAGATTGTCTTCTGCATGAACTCATCAGTAATTTGCTGAAAACTTGAAGGAGATCTTGTGCAGATCTCTGGGGTTCTCTCTGGGCAATTCTCCCCTCTTCAGTATTCTGTCCTATGAACTCTAGCATCTTGATCTCCCTAGTATCTCATCTCTACCCCCTCAACTCAAGGAGTCCACCAGACTCTGCCTAGTTTCGCCCGCTGCACCATAGCTTAGACGCTCTCTCTCAAGGCGGTCAGCTGGGGTAATAATAGGGCATGAATCATTTGTTTCTCCCCTCTCATGGAATCACGGTCTTTTATTGCCTGATGTCCAACGTCTTGGAAACCACTATTTCATATATTTTGTCCAGTTTTGTGGTTTGTTTCAGCTGGAAGAAGAAATCTTTTCTTGTTTTTCTACCTTGGCCAAAAGCAGAAATCCATACATTATTTTTAATTTCAACATTTTCTTTATTGATTTTTGAAATTTCAACAAAGCACTGTTACTTGATAATCAGAAATAATTTTAAAAAGAAATTTACACACATAATAACGCATTTGATAAGGGCAACATGAGTCATGGGTAAGAAATGCTGTAGAAGATGGGGACTGCTTGTTGTCTCGAGTGCTTGAGAACGCACTGTGGAGGAAATAGCATTTGACTTGAATAGTGAAGAGTTTTTACAGAAGTGAGGGTATTTTTGACAAGAGAAACAGCACCCATTAAGCCACAAAGGCAGGAAATGACAATGTGTATATGAAGAATGTAAGAGGCCCCGGAGCAGTTGTGTGCGTGGAGTGATAAGGCTTGAGAGCAGGAAGGGTCGGATGTGGAAAGCCCAGGAAACTTGGACCACGTATGGGCAGTGGAGCGGTTACTCAGATCAGTGGGAAACTTTATAACAATGGACCTCAAAGACCTGGAAAGGGGGGAAACTTGTAGGCAGGAGGGACTGTGGGGAGGTGCTTAAAGCTGTTGCAGAGGGAGGGAGTGATGGGTCTTGGCAGCTAAGAGAATGCAAAAGAAGAAGACAAAGGTAACTTGGAATTCAAGTCTGGGCATGTGGGAGGATGAGGGCACAAAAAACAAAATGAGGACGCCAGCGAGGAGCTGGTATGAGAATCTTCTATTCGCTTGCAGGTAGGCTGAGCTTGAGATAACAAGAACAACATCCAGATGGCAATGCCTGGAAGCAGTTATAGACTGTATGCCTATGTAAAAATGCAAAGCTATGATGTTAAGAGCACTGTGAAAAACGAATTCTAGGATACCTAGTAAAATCCTGAGCAAAGTACATATTGGTAGCTCCCTCCTCAAGAAGTTGTACTTGGCCCGTTTTCCGGCAGTAGAAACTCTGCTCTGTGCAATTCTCAGTGGCAGCAGCAGAGGGCAGCAACAGCAGATAGTTGGGATGCTCCTGATACTGGGAGCTAAGGGGAAGTCGATTCCTGAAGAGAGTTTGGGATTCTGCCTCTATCAACAGACAGTAGATGTTTCCAGATGCTAGAAAGAGAAAATGGCCTTGGCTTCCCAAGTAAACTGCAGATTCATCTTTGTCTTGCAGATGGAAATGCTGAGCAGAGCAATGGAGACCTCCTTATTCTGCCAAAGCAAAAGGAACTCAATTCAGCAAGCGCTTACATATATTATGCCATTTGTCTTACCGACTCTAAGACGTTGGTATTGTTACTGCTATTTTCTTTTTATAGTAAGTGAGCTCAGGGGATACAACTGGTAAATGGTTGCTGTCTCGAGTCAACATATACTGTATTATCTCTCTATGAAGTGCTGTTAGTGGACTGTGTGTGTGTGTGTGTGTGTGTGTGTGTGTGTGTGTGTGTGTGCACGTGTGTGCATTTTGCTGCATAGAGTAGATTTAGTCTGTTTTGATTTAGGGTAGGGTGGAGAACTGGTAAGTGTTTTGGTCTTTTCCTTTAACCCAAAACCCTGAAGGCAGAAGCAGGATACTTAGGTTTGAGGGAGCAGTGGTGCTCAAAGTCTGGTCCACTGACCAGGGCTGGTTCAGGAACTGGTTGTCACCGGTCTGCAGCGAGGTAAGCACAGAAACTGAGAGTGGGCATTTAGAAACTTTTACAGCAATCCGACAGAATAATTTTATGTCTATTGAATCTAACAGTAAAAATTGAGGGCTTGCATTTTGTATGTCTTTTTTAATTTCATTTTTCTAGTGATTCATGTTAATTGTATTTGAGAAAAGTTCAGTCCATAATAGGTGGGAAATTAAAAAAAAAAAAAAAAGCTTACGCTTCGCCACAGGATAGTTTGCAAGCCCTGCACGCTGTAGGATTTTAAATTTATGTTCCTTTTGCAAGGAACATGAAAACCAGCACAGTTACTAAACCATGGAGAAGCTACTCCTTGAAATCTTCCAGTAGCTCCACTGAATGTCATGGTCAAAATACAGTGAAAGGAGAAGGAAGGAGGCAAGAAAGAGGAGAAGGAGGAGGGGAGGGTGGAAGGGCGGGAGAAGAGGAAATGGGAGGAGTAGGAAGAGGAGGGAGAAATCTTGATAACTCTTACAGAACAGGAGATGCCTCATTTCTTGGCCTTGGGCCAAATCACTGCAATGAATTCAGGGAAAGCACAGAATTAAGACAAAACAGATGGAATATGGGATAAATTAACAAATACCGACAACAACCTGCTCAATAATATTGCTGATGCATCATTGGCAGATACCCCAAAGGACCTCAAAATCATAAACCAGGCTTCCACACTGATTTATTCCCACTTAGCATGAAAAATACCTGATTTCAGCTGAAATATGGGCCCTTGGTCTCATTCTAGCTTTGGCAGTAAAGAGTTGTTATTTAGGAATATGGGGAGGTGGGGGTGGGATGGGGCTGGAGTTTGAGGAGAAGCGACATTTCCCAGGGAAAAACAAAAAGCAAAACAAGATGAAACAAGACCGTGTCAAACCATAGGTAAAATTCTGAGAGGGAGAAAAAGGGTCGTTGAAGTCAAGGAAGAGAAAACAAAAAAAAAAAAAAAAAAAGCAACATTCTTTGCTTACAGATGTTTTCTTCCTCTGAGGAAATAAACTGAAAAATACTTCGTTCTGTTTTGATTCAGGAGTACCTGCTTAGCATGGCATGAAGACAGATGTCCATTCATCCATACAGTATGTTTTGCCAGCAGGTGTTGGTAGCCCAGTTCCTTCCAAATCTTTCCTCCTCTGCTTTTAAACGCCATTTCTTTGGCTTAAGACTCTCTCCACTATGAAAAAGCAAGCAGACCTGGGAAGGTCAATACATATGGCCAAAATGATCATAATTTCTCAGCTTGAATGAGGTTATCAGATCCTCTCCAGAGAGCTTGGTTGGCTAAAAGCGATTGATGGGGCCTGAGAGGGCTGCAAGCATCCATTTATTTTTCAACAACCATTTGAGTCCCTATTATATGCCACACACTGGGAATAAGCATCCCTGCCCTCAAGGAGCTTATAGTCTATGGAAGGAGACAGAAATGAATAAGAAGACCATGGGTATCTCATTAACGTGCATAACAGGTGGTGTCTACGGGTCAGAGCCATCACCTGGCACTTCGTTGTACTCTGATGGCTTGCGTGTTGCTAGGATACTGGAGGTTATGCCACCGGAATTTCAAATACCAGCAGAGTCACCCACGGAGGACAGGTTTCAGCAGAGCTTCCAGACTGAAACCTGGGCCTCCCACATGGAAGGCAAGAATTTTATCGCTAAACCACCAACGACCTCACAGAAGAGGGTCGTTCTGATTAAGAATCCAAGCAAAAAAGTTACGGAGCACATAACTCCAGTGATGGGATTTTGCCTAGCTCCCAGGTGTGTTGGGGCAGGAAAAGTTGCCCACCAGTTACCCAGAATATAGAAACCATAATTGAAAGTCGATTATATTTGTTTCCTTCGATGAAAGTAAAGTCTCCTGAAACTCCCACTAGAGCTATTGTTTTTTGAAAATGACTCTAAAAAAGGCTGTAAATGGTCGATTATCAGGCACCATCATGAGCCAGGAACAGGAAGCAAGACCTTTATCTCAAGAAAACAAGCTTGCCAAGAGATTCAAGGCCTGTTCCAACCTCCACAGGCCTTGCCCTCCACGCCCTCACCTTACCTTGTAGGGTAATTTCCAGGGCCACAGAATGATTTCTGAGAACAGTCTGATCTCAGAGGAGAGGCATCAGTGAAGTGAAAACACTGATGGGTGTGGCGGCCCCACAGTTCCGTGAACATAACAGCCAGGCCTGGATTCCATTTCTTGAAGATAAGCTGAGCCTGGGTCAGGCAAGGCCACCATGGCTCAGTAGAAAAGAGCTGGCTTCATACCAGAGGAGAGATGTATTGTTGTTCGTTGCTGTGAGTTGGCTCCCGCTCACGGTGCGTTCTGTAACAGAATGAAACCCTCTCCCGTCCTGCACCAACTTCATGATCATCGGTACACCTGAGTCCATTGTGGTGGCTGTTGTGTGGATTGATGTCACGGAGGGCTTCCTTCGTTTGCAATAACCCTCTACTTTACCCAGCTGGACGTCCTTTTCTCGCAATTGGTCTTTCCTGATGACCTGTCCAAACTAAGCAAGATGAAATTTCACCATTCTCACTTCTAAGGAGCAATCAGGTTGTAGTTCTTCTGAGTCTGATTTGTTTGTTCTTTGGGCAGCCCACGGTATAGTCAACATTCTTCGCCAACACCAGACTCTGAATGCACTGATGGTTCCTCTGTCTTCTTTTTTCATTGTCCAGCTGTCACATGCGTACGAGGTGATTGAAGGATGCATGAATAGGCAAAAACCACCTAGAGAAGACAATGGACATGTTGTTCACAAATGCAGGGACAGATACTGTTTGTGATGCAGGGGCAAGGAGATACAATCAGAAGTTCCAGAAAAGTGGCTATGAGCAACCATGTAGAGAGTAGGAAATTGAAAAAAAGCCCAAATGAACTTAGAAGATAAGTTCAGAGCCAGGCCTCACGAAACCTAGGAGTCCTTCCATGGAATGTTGGTGTGTGCAATGACCTGGCACACATTGTGGGGAACGACAAAGCACTGGGAACGTTCTAGATCTCTGAAAGAGTAACCTTCCCACCAGGACCCTACAGACAAGACTCAGACAAATCCCTAGAGCCAAGCAACACGGGAAGTATCCTCCCGAGTTTTAAGGGGCTCTTGAGAGGGAGAACCTGGAACTTAGGCACCACAGTAATTCCTCCAGGCCACTGAAGTACCTCTGGCACGAGCGTGACGCGGTGCCCTTGGTCTCCTGGTGGCCGGGGTGGCACTCCCCAAGGACCTGTCAGTATAGCACAGACTGACCGAGGCGCTGGGAGAGTTGGCCTCCGGATTTAAGGTTTTACAATGATGTTCTCTGGATGAGCTTTTGTTCCCTCAGATCTGAACTGCCACAGGGTCACTGAATCAAAGAACTGCATTAAACAGTGCAGATACACCCCATGGTGCCGAATTTCAGGGGATTTAATTTATCTGAACATATCGCTTGTGAAAAGGCTTTTCCCCAAGCCCTTTAGCTGGGTCAAGGACGCAGAAATGCCAGTTTAAGGGAAGTACAAGGCGGATTTAGCAGGTACGGGGGAGGGAGGGCAGGTTTCCACCTAGATTTCTGCTACCGCTGACTTTTTAGGTTATTTGTGACAGGCTGAAACTGTTTCACAGACCCTGTCCTAGTTTCCACAAAGCTTTCAAACCGAGGAGGAAAGACATTCCAGAGTTGAAGAGGACTCTGTCATAGGGGTATGAGGACTGTCAGTGGTAATGCTGTCTGCTGACTTTCGACAAGCGGAGGAAAGAAGCCTTTCATGTCGCTGAAACTCTATGCTAACGGCCATCTTGCAAAGGAGACAATTTGTTGCCATAAAGAAATACAAACTGTCTTTTTGCTTTTCAGGTCTCCAGACTGAGAGGGCTAGAAATGGTGGCAAAGAGGCAAAACGAGGCTTGAAAAGCAGCAAAGGCAAAGAGTCAGCTACCTTAGAGTAGCAGTCCCCGGGTGCCAAAAATGGTCAGTGCGCTCGGCTGCTAACTGAAAGGTTGGAGGTTCGAGTCCACCCAGAGGAGCCTTGGAAGAAAGGCCTGGTGACCTACTTCTGAAAAATCAGCCATTGAAAATCATATGGAGCACAGTTCTACTCTGACCCACATGCAGTGGCCATGAGTCGGAATCAGCTCAATGGCAACTGATAACTGGTAGGCGTCCCTGAGGTCACGCTGACTGAGCAGGCCTGGGGAAGCTGGGCAGAAGGAGGCACTGCAGCTCAGTTACCTCGGGAGCTTTCAAATATTTTTCATTAGCACTTCTCATGCAAATTTCTTTCCATACAGATATTAAAAACAATCAGGTCAAGCTTATGTCCTGATGTGGAAAGATGTTAAAAAATATGTTACTAAGAGAAAAAGAGCAAGACGCAGAAAAGCGTCGGTATCGTATGTAACTGAGCGTGTACACACTTCAGCAACTTCAGGAGGGGAACCTAAGTTGTTGGGGGTCACCTCTGGAAAATGGGAATGAGGGTCTGGGATGGGATTTTAATTTTCATTGTATACCTTTTTTGTACGGTTTGGACTTTTTAACAGATGTCTGCGTTATTTGCACTTAAAAAAAAAAGTCAGCCACCTACGCTGCTATAAAATTGATTCAGGAGGTGTGGCGCGGTACCCAAGAATCTGCTTAGTTAAGATTCCCCGCCCCCTTTTTTTTCCTGATGCACAGCGATTTTTGGAAAATCTGCTTTGGAGCAAGTTCTCCCTACAGACAAAGCTTTGGATGGCCAGAGGTGGTCTTTGATTTTAGAATACCTGTTCTAAACTAAGCGTGTCATTTCAGATCACATAAGCATGAGGAAAATTTTATGGTGGGTAAAAAGGATCAAGTTAAGGCTATTTCTGCTCTGTATTAAGGAGTTCTTAACTTTTTGTGTGCTGGGTATACCTTTGGCAGTCTGGTGACGCTTATGGGCCCTTTCTTGGAATAACTTTTTTTTTTCTGGAATAATCGCTTTAAAACCAAAACCAAACCCATTGCCATTAAGTTGATTATGCATATGATTACAAGGCAATATATAAACACTGTGCTCCATAGGGTTTTCGATGGTTGATTTTTCAGAAGTAGACCAGGCCTTTCTTCCAAGGTGCCTCTGGGTGGACTTGAACCTCCAACTTTTCAGTTAGCAGCCGAGTGCATTAACTGCACCACCCAGGGATTTCATACTGGTATATAGTTATCTAAATCTTTTAAAAATTGGGATAGAGTAATATATGGGTTTTTTATTGAAGCCCTAAATAACAAGAGCTATTGTAGGTCTAATGACTTCCATAATTTAAGAGAAGTGATGCGTGTATTATTTCAAGATCTCTGCAAAAGCTATAGTGTGATAGGAAAATATTTGTGATTTTCTGTTTGTGCTAAAGTCACAGGTACTGCTAATACAATGGTGATTCGTTGCCATAATGGAAGGAAATGCTAAACTTCAGTTAGAGTTAGTGAAAAATCAACATGCAAATCTTTTTTTTTTTTCTTTTCAAGTTCCGAGACACCCTGAATTCATGCTCCAGGATAATGGGAAGAGCAGGGTGGCCAGGGAGAGGGTCAGGATGAGAAATACGAGCAGGCTGGGAAGGAATGAGATCCAGCGTTAGAAGGGAAACATGCCTCTGACTTGGTTTCCCTGTGGAAGGATGAGGAAGCAAGTCAGACACAGCAGGTAATTAGGTAATTCAGGAAAATAGGCTGGAGGCTCCCCTCAGATGGCCTCAGTTTGGATGACTGAAAGCAAGAGGCGATTGTCAGCAGTAAGGGAGACACCTGGATGCTCCCGCAACCTAACGAGAGAGAAGATGTGAGGACTGATCCAGGGTCCTCGAGAGCAGAGCCAGGGGCTAGACGGAGGCCATGAGCAGCCTCTCCTGCTGGGCAAGTCTGCTCCGCCTTGTCATCGTCTTCAGAAATGCTTTGGGGCAAGCGGAGAAGGCAGATGGTAGGAGTGGGTAGTGGGCAGGTTTTCTGAAAGCTGAGGTACGTGGCAGATGTGGAATCCTGGAAGACGTCTGTGAATAGGTGTTTGGGAGATGCAAAAAAGAAAAGCAGCAAGAAAGAAGGATGGGACCCAAGGTGCACTTGGGATCTTAGGGATGGCACCCATTCAACACAGTGGTTCTTACTGAAGACTTTACAGCAAGTGCCAGTTTTGGACAGTTCTAGAAGTGAATCAGCCAGACTTTTTTTTTTTTTTTATTAGTTTGACTTATTTATTTCTTTTTTAAAAAATTGTACTTTCGATGAAGGTTTACAGAACAAATAGTTTCTCATTAAACAGTTAGTACACATATTGTTTTATGACAGTGGTTAACAACCCCACAACATGTCAACATTGTCCCTTCTCGACCTTGGGCTCCCTATTACCAGCTTTCTTATCCCCTCCTGCCTGCTAGCCCTTGTCCCTGGACTGTTGTGCCCCATTAGTCTCATTTTGTTTTATGGGGCTGTCTAATCTTTGGCTGAAGGATGAACATTGGGAGTGACTTCATGACTGAGCTAAAAGGGTGTCCAGGGGCCATACTCTCAGGATTTCTCCAGTCTCTGTCAGGCCAGTAAGTCTGTCAGCCAGACTTTTTAATGTTCTTGTGAGACCCCCCTCCCTTGTTCCTTCTCAGCTGCCATCTTCCTCCTCATACAAGCTGTTCTCATGGCACAGATTAAGGCCCATCAGCCGTGAAGGAACCATGTTTCAGATCGCTCCCGCAATGTTCACTTAGCTTCACAACCATTCACATCTTTGATGCACAGCTCTCCAGCTTTTCATCTGACTTCTCCCCCTTCATCCGTTTTCACCTTTGGCATAAACTACCACTTTTGCTACTGCCCGCTCCTCCCGCTGCTCCCCACACCCCTCGACCATCTCCTCCCTCTCTGTATTTCTCCCCATCCCTTCCCTCCCACCTGCTTCCTTGGAGACACATGGAGTGTTAGCACTTCACAGCCAGACCGATAAACAGCTGCTCTTCCTAGACTAGCTGTTTCTTCTGCTGGATGGCGGGAACCAGAAGGTCTCATCCACAGCCCTTGCTTAGCCTGGCACACTGGAGCATGACTGGTTGCTCCAACCTCATCGGTTAGCTGCCACGTCCCAGATAAGCAGCCTCCAAAGGCCTGGAAAGACAACAGGGGCTCTGGTCTTGTTGCCCTTCTTGTAGTCTCATTAGCTATTGTGCCTATTTGGTCTTTGCTTTGGAGGCGTCTGGAGGGACTTACTATTCTCTAGGGAGCCTCAAATAGTCCTGTCTGATTTACAGTTGCCATCAAGTCGATTCTGAATCATGGCGACCCCACGTGTCCGAGTAGAAATGTGCTCCGTAGGGTTTTCAATGGCTATTATTTCTGGAAGCAGGTAGCCAGGCCTTTCTCTCGAGGTGCCTCTGGGTGGACTCAAACCTCTAAACTTTCGTTTAGCAGTGAGCGCATTAACTGTTTGTGCCACCCAGGGACCTGTCTTAAACCGTATTTAAATCCCTCAGTGCTAGCTAAAAGGAAGCTAGTGATTTGGGGGAGTTCAAGACTGACCATCTGGGACCCTAAAAGCAACTCAAGAGCCTTGTGGACATGGTCAGCACAGCAGCTGCAGACACTCAAGGCCCTCTGAGGGCCCCTTTTTCCAGGAAGTCATCCTTCCAAGGCGCTGACGGCCAGCAATGGCTGGATTCGAGACAGTGGGATGTGGACGTGTATATGCCAGGCTGTGATTCTGAACTGAACCCCAACACTGTACAAACCATTGACCAAGAAACAAATTCATGTATAATTGTTCATGGCTCAAGGGAGAGAGTTTAGTTTGATCAAAGATGATCAGAACCTGTGTAAAATTAGGAGAGAAAAGTGTTCACATAATTAGAATATTTTGAGGAAAAGTTGATCATTGTGGGCGGTGGTAGTTCGGTGGTAGAATTCTCACCTTTGATGAGCAAGACTCGGGTTTGATTCCCGGCCAGCACACCTCCTGCCCAGCCACCACCCGTCTGGCAGTGAAGGTTTGCATCTTGCTGGGATGCTGAACAGGTTTCAGCGGAGCTTCCAGACTAAGACAGACTAGGAAGAAAGGCCTGGTGATCTACTTCTGAAAATCAGCCAGTGAGACTCCTAGGGACCACAATGGTCCAATCTGCAACTGATCATGGGGATGGCCAGGAATGGGCCGCGTTTTGTTCCATTGTGCATGGGGTCACCATGAGTTGGGGGGGCTGGCTTGACAGCAGCTGACAACAATTAGGTAATTAGTAATTAGTATGATATTTTAGAGGAAGTCCAACAACCAGCTTAGATGTGGTGGAGCTCATCTTGCAGAGCTGTGATTGGTCCACAGTTATTCTGCCAAAGCTGTCATACATTGTCATCTCTCAGGCATCTACCCCGCAGATGCGGATGCAGAGATAGGATTCGTGAGGAGGCCTGAACTTGTATGAACAAAGGTAGAATTCGTTTTGTGTTTGTTTTTTGGAGCGATTTTGTCTCAAGGAAGCTGTAACGCTGTCTTGCTGATCATGAATTGGCATAAACTCTACCAAGTGACAGGTCTTTTTCACCTCTGTCATCTAGACTTCCTCAACAGCCTTCCCGCAGGGGGCGCTGTTGCTGCCAAATGGAGATGGGCTCTGGACGCAAAGCCTAGCAATTGGTAGGCAGAGATCTTTTCTGCTCAGGCAAGAATAAAATAAGTGTGGGCCAAAAATATAACCACTTAGAGTGAGGTGAAGTTACTTCTTTTCATTTTTGTACAAAATTCTAGATACTATGTATAGATGTAATTCATTCTCAAAACAATTGTAACAGTCATTTTATTTTTCAGACTGTATCACCCAGACTTGCCACAACCGGTGCTAAACACTGCACAAGATAAAACAAGAAAGAGATGAAATTGGAGAATGGTTCTGCGTATCTGTGTGTGATGGGGTTTGGCAAGGGGAGGTAGGTACAGGCATGGCAAGGGGAGGTAGGTACAGGCATGGCAAGTGGGCTTCATTCGGCCGGTAAAAGAATAACCTGGATTACATGCAATCAATTGCATCTGTTAATTTTAATCAACAGTTCTGAGACGATGCAAGCAACACTGATCATATCCTGTGATTTAGTAGGAGCATTATTATCCCTGGTTTGCAAAGAAAGAAACCAACATCACAAATAGAATCCCATGTCTGTGAAGCAACAAGTAGCTCCTAGATTGAAGATTTACGTTACTTACACTAGCTGTGTCTCTCTTGGAGTGTTGGTTCCCAGCTCACTTGCTGGAAGAGCGCTTGAGGGACTGGATCCCATCATAACAATACTGTGTTTGGACAGACGGTGCTTTTAGCGTTTACAAAGCACTTTCCCTTACAGCCTTACTTAGAACCACCCTTAGATTTACCTCAGAATCGTGAGGTATGAGAATGCTATGTGTGCACCAGGGCTTCAGATCTGTTTGGTCTGGTTTGACTCCCTGCTGAGAATTTGCATTTCCATCCCAGATATACTGAATTGGAACCTACAGTTTAACAAGATCCCACGTGATGCTTATGTATCCCCAGGTGATTCTTACGTATCCCCAGGTGATTCTTACATACACATGAGAATCATCTAGGAATCTTGTTAAAATGTTGATTCTGATATAGTATATGTGGGGTGGAAATGCAAATTCTCAGCTGGGGAGTTGAGCTGGACCTGACCATTGGAAGCCCTGGTGTGCACAGTACTAATCCATGTGGATGCAGGCTTGTTGCACTGTTATTATATTACTGGACGGGCTTTGTTCTGCAGTGTTTAATATCTGGACCTGCTCTCAAAGGAGTGAATAATGAGATTTCACCTTTTGTAATATTGTTACTAATTTTGAAACTGGTCTTAAGTGAACAGAAAGCATGGGTTTTCCAACATAGTTGGAGTGTATTTTTTTTTTTTTTTTAATATATGATGAGAAGAAACACACGTGCTTGTCTCTAAGCCTTGGCAGAGGGTGGAAAGGAAAGGCCAGTCCACCCATGAAAGACTCCATTTCATCCAAATTTGAAATGAGGCTATACTCAGTCCAAGATGACTGCCCTTAAACACTGCCAAGAGGGAAGTAAACAAAGATGCTCTGTTAAGTGGTCAAGTGGGTCTGTTAGAAAGTGTCTTTCAGATCTGGGTATTAGACTGTTGTTTATATATACATATATATTTTGTTTTTTTTGTTGTTGGGAATATACACAGCAGAGTATACACCAATTCAACAGTTTCTACATGTACACGTTGGTGACACTGATTACACTCTTTGAGGTGTGCAACCATTCTCATCCTTTTCTGGGTTTTTCCTCCCCATCCTCATAAACTGACTGTCCCCTAAGATTCCCATCTAATCTTTCATGTTGTTGTCAATTTGATCCCATATAGATAGACCTTAAAAGAGCACAATGCTTAAGGCAGTCTTTACTAGTTAAGCTAAACTATTTTGTTTTAAGAAGACTTAATGGGATATTTTTGGTTTAAGGTTTAAAGATTATATAAGGGCAATAATTTCAGGGGGGTTCATTCAGTCTCCATGGCTCCAGGAAATCTAGATTCCATGAAAATTTGAAATTCTGTTCTGTATTTCCCCCCTTTTGACCAGGATTCTTCTATAGAATCTTTGATCAAGATGTTCAGTAATGGTAGCTGGGCACCATCCAGTTTTTCTGGTTTCATGGCAAAGGAGGCAGTTGTTCATGGAGGCAATTAGCCACACATTCCATTTCCTGCTCCTGTTCCTGACTCTCCTTCTTCCTCTGTTGCTCCAGGTGAAGACAGACCAATTGTTCAGCCTTGAATGGCCTCTTGCAAGCTCTTAAGACCCCAGGCACTATGCAATGAACTAGGAGGTAGAATAGAAGCACTAAGTGTGTTAATTAGGCCAATTAACTGGGATGTCCCATGAAACCATGACCCTAAACCTCCAAACCAAGGAACCAAATCTCACGAGGTGTTTGGTTGTCCATAAGCAGGCTCAGCATCTACTCTTTTTTTTTCCCCCCTTTGGTCATTGTAGTAAATATATCTATTACACAACTTTTGCCGGTTCAACCGTTTACAGGTGTACAACTTAGTGACAGCAATTACATTAATCGGCTATGTGGTTTTTGTTGTTAGCATCCATTGAGTTGACCCCAGACTCATGGCAACTGCATGCACAATGGGATCAGACCATTGTGATCCTTAGAGTTTTCACTGGCTGATTTTCAGAAGTAGATCACCAGGCCTTTCTTCCTTGTCCTTCCTGGTCCGTCGAAATCTGTTTAGCATCATAGCAACACACAGTCCTCCACTGATGGACAAGTGGTGGCAGTGCATGAAGTGCACTGGCCAGGAATTGAATGCAGATCTCATGCATAGAAGGGGAGAATTCTACCCGTGAACCACCACTGCCTCCAGCTATTGGGTTAAGATGTTAAAATAACAGAGAACTCCACAATTTGCTCCCCCAGTCTAAAATCTATGTTGTCATCTTCTTCACACACACACACACACACACATGCTCATGCATGCACACACTCCTTCTAAGTGGCCTTAAGTACATCTCCAAAATGAGAGTTTGAACCAGATTCCTCTAAAATGCTTCCAGTTCTATAATTCAATGAACCTACAGTCAAAAGAGGACGTTCAGTTGATTTCCACTACTCAGCTTCATGGATGCTGACACATGAACACCCTCCCTGACACACACACACACACACACACACACACACACACACCGGATTCATCACCATCATTCCCACTCCACAAACTAGGCAGGTATCTAAGGCGTGAGCCAGAGCACCCGGGTCTAGTAAACAGGAATCAGCGGGAATTGCAGTCTTCTTTTAAATCTTTATTTGCCACTTTCATTTCTTTATCCCACCAATGCAAACTGCAGAGAACAGCAGGAAACCGCATCGGAAGCGGCGCATGCTAGCTGGCCCGGTGATAGGACCACCTCCCCCTGAGCGTCACACAGGCGACAATGAACATCCCTCGTGGAGCAGAGCGGCAGACACTGCACAGCCGGGCCAAAGGAGAGGCCTCCTCTCGCAGGAGTCTGGCCTTTCAAACACTAAGAATGGTTGCATTCATTGTCCTTTTTAAAATTTTTTTTTGCTTTAATAATAATAAAAAACCCAAAACCTTCTATAATTTATAAGCTATTTTTTGCTATCTACATTATATATAAAATATAGACTCTGTTTACGTATAACACACATCTTTCTTCCCTTGATAAATAACTCTTTAAAATATCTAGTTTACGTGCCTTGACCTTTTATGTCTGGTTTTATACATATGTATATAGATATCTACCCATGTTTGTAAAACACAATAAATACATACTCGACAATCAAAAGCAACCAAACAAATGTAATTTTGGTTATTTAAAAAAAAAATGTAAAAGCACCAGGCGGCAAACAGAAAACCATTATTGCCAGAAACTTCTCTCTCCCCTGGGCAAGGCACAGGGCAGGTCGCTAACTACATCTGGATGCCTAAAGGAGGGGAGCGGGGAGATAAAGGAGCCAGCCAGGTCGCTTGCTTTTATTTTGTTTCTTAACCAGGGGTTAGACTCAGAATCACAAATAAGTCATTCCATCGATAAGAAGAAACCAAGGGGCTCGTTCAGCAACTTAAGCCTTGTGTGGCTGGAGAGCACAGGGAAAGAGAGACAGCTACATTGTGACACCAGGCTTATTTTGTGGGCCTGCTGACACCTGCCCAGGCAAGCTTCTCATTGCCCTACTAAATGGCAAGAACATGCCTCTAACATGTTCTTTTTGTTAACTCACTGCTGGTGCAAACAGAAAGGAAAGAGTGCATCAGATTCACGAGTATTCAGTAGTGCAACGCTTGAGTAGCCTGACCGAGAGGCAGCTGGAGCCGGAGGCTGGGATGGTCCTCTCTAGGCTCCAGCCAGCGGGGACCCTGACGTGGGGAAGGTCAGGTGGCTACTGCTGTCCACTCCTGACTGATGGGGTTACTCAGCTGCGATACTGGCATCACCTCCAGACTCCGATGGGACCATGAACCCCTTGTCTTTTAAAGAAGCACAGGAGTTCTTCATTCCTCTGCTGAGAAGTCCTGGAGACCCCCCTCAGTCTGGGCTGGGGCCTGAAACGGGAGCGTGTGCTCCATCTACCAGCACTGCCCAGGTGGGCCTGGCCGGGCGGGCATCCCCCTGCTGGTGACGACTGGCTTTCCCTGTGGGGGCACACTGTAGACCGCACAGCTGTTCCATCACTGACCTTCCCCTCCCTCCCCCAAAAGGGAATGGAGATGTGGGGTTCTGCTAGTCAACTCTTTTGTAAAATATGGTCCCCAACGTCACGGCCTCTGCCCTCAAAACTCCATGGCTTTGATGGACGTAAGGAGTTGGTGGTGGGTGATCAGGAGCCCCAAGCTAGTCAGGACCTTGATCTTTGTCTAGGAGTGAGGGGAATAGAACTGGCCTTAGGAAATCCCAGAGGAGAAAATCTGGACGTGTACCCCCATCCTTGCCAAATAAAGGACAAATTAGAGATAGCTGTTCACGTTACAATAACAATGGACATTTTTAAATACATAGGTCTCTGGGTACATTCAATATACATTTTTGTTTCAAAAAAAAGCTGCTTTACCTGCCACAGCTCAGCAATATAGTCCGACGCAGGTCTGAGTTCCAATTCCAACTCCTCCACCAACTAGCCTCGTGACCTTGGACAAGTCATTTCCCCTCCCTGGGCCCCCGATTCCCCACCTGAGAGCTCTGACAGTGCTGTGTGAGGAAGGGTGGTAAACTCAGAAACCTGGGCTCCCAGTCCTGGCTCTACCTCTAAAGATGTGGTATGACCTTGCCATTGTGTAACCTCTCTGGGATTTACAACAAATAATATAGAACCAATGAATATATTGGACTCTAACGTCCCTTCGGAAGCAAGTGGATTTACTTTCTCCCCAGGATATCATTAGCAATGCTTAAGGTTCCCCCATACCCACCCAAATAAAAGAGATCAGATCAGAAGCCTAATTTATGATCCAGTAGCTGCAGCCGTGAGACAAGATGAAGAGACAAAGAGAGAGTAAAGGAACCAACGAACGCAAAGCTCAGCTAAAAATCTGAGTCATACACCAACGAACTGTAAAAGCCCCAGTCTTTGAGAAGAGACCTTTTGCTACCTCACGCTCAGGCCACAGAGAGCAAAATCAAGGGCCATCTATAAGGGTTGGCCAACAACGTTTTGAAAATCCCCAACTTTGTCTGAGGTTTGCTGCATCACCTACAATCCAAATCAACTTAGGAAGTCCATTTTCAAAGAAGCTGAGTGATATTTCCACATGGAAGGGGAGAAAAATCAACCACTTCTATCTGCAGCTCTATTAACTAACCTTCTGGCAGAACATCAAATGTTACATCCTGCTCAACAGGAGGGCGTTTACAGCAGTTGAGTGGAGCAGGAGGTCCCATTCAGCTCTTGTCACAGTTGCCCCACAGGGTGTGAGAGCAGACCCTTTCCTGCCTGGGAAGATCAGCCTAGGCACAGCCATTCTTCCTGGGAGGCCATGTGGTTTGGAGAAGAAAGGTTTGGATTCTGTTGACTCTACTTGTACTGCTTACCAGTTGTGTGACTTTGGGCAAGTTACTCTTCCTCTCAGAGCCTCAATATTCTCATCTGTAAAAGGGGAATAACAATATCTAACACTATAGGATTATTTATGGATTAAATGAGGTAATGTATTTAAATACCTTGCACACAGTGGATAATCAATAAATGTTAGTTCTTTTCAATGTGGGTAGAACTGAGGGTACTTGGCATTGCTCTCTGCAGGTGGGGGAATGTCTGGGAGAAGTTCTTCTTGAGTTGGAGCCAGCCAAGTCAGTCTCTAGAGAGTAAGGGCAACCTGACATACAGGTATTTGCTGTCAGGTAGGCTAAGGAGTATCTCTGGTACCCCGTAATGCCTCTCCCACTGAGAGACTGACAGAGGTTAATGGACTCTCCCCTGTAAAAGAAGGCACATAGACTCTGAACAGTCCGAACAAGCCCAGGGCATCCCCAAACACTGGTGGACGGATACTAGTTAAGGACCCCTGACCTACGCCGTCTCTCAGAACTTGGAACTTAAGACACAGCAGAGGCAGCCAGTGGCATCAGACAAAATTTCCAGTAACAGAGGCATCCACACACTGATGGGACCAAAACGGGGTGCTAAATGTTAAGACACTGAAGTTGTGCCTCAGTTACCCGAGGCTCTTGAAACACATAATACAAAGCAGAAAGGGGCTTGCTTATTGTTGGGGCTTAGTCCTAGGTCAAAGCCAGCGGATGGTGCCCAGACCCCTGAGGGTCTTATTAGGGGGGCTGGGCTGAAACGAAGTCCTGCTGCAGAATATTGTTGAAAGCTTGAGACGTCAGCTTCAGATTGCTGCGCCTGTTAACACAGTCTTTATGTGGTAGGGCAGGGCAGGAGGCGCACTGAAGGGTCTCAAACCCATTTGCTGTCATTTTTATATGTAAAAAAATTAATTATCTAGGTTCCCCTCCCATTTCTGCATCTACCTACTACATGCATTTCAGCTGATACAATTTGAGTACACTTACTAAAATATTTTTCCATGCTTTTTTAAAAGAATACATATTTTTCCTACACCCCAGTCTCAAATGAGAATTTCTGTTTTATGACACTGAATATTTACCACAGAGCTCAGAGGCCTTTGAGAAAAAAAAAAAAAATCTCCAAAGTCTTAGGGATAAGTACAAAAACATAGAATTGAAACCCCAGGAATATCCCGACTTAGATTAAAAACGACCTAGAAAAATGAGACCCACAGAGTCACCTCAGTTTCCTTTCCTTCCATCCTTAATCACAGCTTTTCATGCTAGTTAGGAAAAAAAAAAAAAAAAAATCTTTGCATTCAGTTTGCACAAAATTACCTATCCCGAGAAGGGGGACCAAGCAGCGCATGCCATGCCCATCTATGCAAAGCATTACTGGAGACTCACAGTAGCGTCCGTTTTGAGCTGGTAGCTGTAAAAGCTGGCAGGCTGAACATGAAGAGTGTAAATACAGCAGGGATGATAATGGACCACCGAGAGTCCCAGTGGCTGTGCTTCAGTAAAGGTCCTGGGAAGTCAGGGGGTTCTTCCCAGAAGGACAGTCCTTTGCCCTGCGCACTAGAAAATGACTATCTTTTCCCCTGGGGTTTGCCCACACCCACAACTGCCCCCTCTGGTAGCCTGGGCTTCACAGTATGCTGACCTTGGGGGGCGGGGGACAGATGGAGATGCCACTGATTGTACTATTCATTTTCAGATTTTGCCTACTCAGAGGCTCGGAGTACTAGCCGCTCAGGCTCCTTAAATTCCCTTCTAGTTCTACTTCCAGTTGTCTGGAGAGAAGTCAAAACCTCAGGTGCATGCCCAAGACAGCTGTTTGCCTTCAGAGAGCTTGGGAAGAAAAGCTATGTGGTTCTCCGAGTAACAGTCTCAACGTCCGACCTAGACAACTGTCGAGTGTGGGGTGAAGGGTTAAGACAGAAAGGATAACAAAAGGATGATTCTTTGTTTTCAAAATATGTTTGACTCGGTCTTTCTGTCAAGACCAGATCTGAATTTCTAAGAACGATTTTAGTGACCCTTGATGATAGTTTAAGTTTTTAGAAACACTTGCATGTGGGGGGGCGGGGGTGTGTATGTGTGTGTGTGACTCTAGGGCCCTCACGGCACTGCCTGCTCCCAGTCCGCAGTTCCCCGACTCCAACAAAAGCTCCATAAAGCAGAAGGATAAAAGGACAAGAAAACACACCAAGGAGATGGGTTTTTTTTTTTTTTTCCAACATCAGATTTCTTAGCCCTGGATGAAGTGTGCAGCTCCAAGGGTTCTAACATCCTTGTTTTATAAACACTGAAAATTATGTTCTTCCTTTTTTGTTTTGTTTAATACTTATTCAGAATCTCACAGGTGTCAGAATCCTGAGAGCAAAAAAGGTAGGGAGAAGAGCCTTGAATTTTTTTTAAGGGAAGAGAACCAGATCGAGCAGAACTGGAGCCTTCCCTTTGAAATCCGCAAAGCTGGCTGAATCTAAGAGCCCTTCCCCGCCTAACGGTAGGGAGACGGGTGTTAGAGCCCCAAGCAAGAGCCCGGTGCTAAGCTCACTTTAGTTCTGTAAGAATTCCCACGGCAGCACCCAGGCGCAGGGGCTCCCAGGCTAGAAGGACAGCCCATGAGCTAGAGCCCACGTGGTCCCTGCCTGAGAGCTGTCTTCTTAGTCTTGCCCCTGAGAGCCACATGGCAGGACCACTCAACACTTCATTCCATCCCACTCGGCTAGAAATATGGCCAGAGGAGGCTCTGTGCAGTTTTTCAATTGTTGAGAAATTCAAAGGGATAGTTTATTCCCTGCCTCATCTGTTTCCATGTTGCCTGTGCGCCTGCTCTTTTTGGCTGAAGGGACTCATTCCGTGAGCCATCCCTGACGCCACCTCACCCCACCTCCCCAGGGGACAGCCAGTGAAGCAATCAGGGAGACACTCCCCAGTGCTTCCTGGCAGGAAGATCAACCAATCAAGAAGCTGTACACTTTGCTACCACGTACTTTTTCCATCAGAAAGATACTCTTGAGTAGAATGAAAAGTGGCTTCCTGGAAGTTATAACTCTGTCTATCCCGCCCCACCCCACACTAACAGGCTTGGAGAGACATGTGAAGACAGTGCCTTATATTGCCGGCAGGGGGCGTCTGGGACTCCTGGTAACCACAGAGCTTGCCATCTGATACAGTGGCGCTGACCTCGCAGGCCCATTTGGCTTGCAAAGGAGGTCAAGGTGTGCGTGGCTTGGCTGGGGCAGGAGCGAAGCAATCCCTCCTTGTTTCTCACAGTAAAAGGCAGTGGAGGCGGCTAAACCTCTTCCCTCTCATGCAAACGCTCAGCAGAGACCCGATCTCAAGACTGAATGAATCGCAGGCCCTGTGAATACCCCCAGGCTGTTAGCTCAGCCCCGCAGTCTTGTTTGTGGTTGGTTCATTTCCCAGGTGCCGTTTACTCACTGCCCCTGCACCTCCCACCCCCACATTGCCCGCAGCCACTCTCTCCCCCGGATTTTTCCCTCTCTCCGGGCCCCTTGCGGAAGGCCTAAGTCCCCTAGGTCCCCGGTCCGGGCTAACAGTAGAGGGACATCCTGCTCCGCCGCATGGCCTCGCTGATCAGGTAGGCCGGGCTCAGCTCCGGCTCCTCGGTCATGATGGCAATGTTCTGCCACTCGCCCGTCTGGCTGGACCTCTTGATGGTGTCCACCACGCACAGGGCGTACAGGCAGTCGTCGAAGGTGGCGGCCATGGTGAGCGGCCGCCCGTCCCACGTGCGCCGGTCGTCCTGGTCCTGGAAGGCCTGGCGCACGGCCTGCATCATCTTGATGGTGCCGCGCAGGTAGGGCGAGGGGATGTCGCTGAAGGCCTTCTCGGGCAGCAGGGAGCTGCTGACGGGCGTGGCGTCCTGCAGCAGCAGCTCCTGCCCAGGCGCGCTGTTGCGCTGCCCGTAGAGGTCGGTGCCCACGGCCAGCAGGCGCCCGGCCGAGCCAACCACGGTCACGTCCTGCTTGAACTCGCCCGGCACGTTGAAGTTGAGGGTGACGGCGCAGCACACGCCGCCCTCCAGCACCATCTGGAAGGTGCAGAAGTCGTCGCTGGTGATCTGGCGGATGCCCTTGATGTGGTCGGTCTGCTTCACGAAGGTCTTGAGCAGCCCGTGGACCTTGATGGCCTTCTGGCCGGTGAGGAAGGTGAGCAGGTCGATGATGTAGGTGCCCACCGAGTGCAGGCCGCCGCCGCCCATCAGGTCGTCGCAGCTCCAGTTGTACTTCTTGCCCAACAGGCTGCCGCTGTGCACCTGCACCTCGCACACCAGCAGCTCGCCCACGTAGCCCTCCTCGATGAGCTGCTTCATGTGCACGAAGGCCGGCAGGAAGCGCAGCACGTTGCCCATGATGCTCATGAGCTTGGGGTAGTAGTGCGCGGCCGACATCATGCGGAAGGCGTCCAGCGGCGTGGCGGTGCGGTCGCAGATGACGTTCTTGCCGATGCCTGCGGGCGGGAGGAGAAACAGGCCGTCAGGGGGCTAACGTGGAGCGAGCGCTAGGGGGCGCTGTGTCCCCCGGGGGGGGACTGGAAAGGGAAAGAGGCCTAATAGTTTACGCTATAATATATATTTAGAAAACGTTTATATAAAATGACATATTCTATATACTTCAGTATGAATTCAAATATTTTTGTCAACTATATTTAAGCTAAATTATGTGTGTGTGTGTGTGTGTGTGTGTGTGTGTATGCATGAAGCCCTGGAAGTGCAGTGGTTAAGAGCTACGGCCGCTAACCAAAGGGTCGGCAGTTCGAATCCACCAGCCGCTCCTTGGAAACCCTCTGGAGCAGTTCTACTCTGTCCTATGGGGTTGCTGAGTCGGAATCGACTTGATGGCGGTGGGTTTTTGGACATATATACATATACATATATATAAATGTAAACATATATATGTGTATGTATATATATAGGAATCCGAGTGGTGCCAACGGTTAACTGCTTGACTACTAGCCGAAAGGTTGGCAGTTTGAACCCATCCAGAGGCACCTCAGAAGAAAGGCCTGGCAATCTGCTTCCAAAAGGTCACAGCCTTGAAAACCCTATGAAGCAGTTCTACTCAGCACACATGGGGACGCCATGAGTCAGAAGAAACTGGATGGCAACTAATAATAACTTATATCACATCATAATATTTATATATTTTATACATTTTATTTACATAAAATAATATATATTTCAATATTAATTTAAATATTTGTGTTAAACTACTTAATTTGAATAT